TAAATGATGTAATCCTGCCCAGGCGAGTCAAGCCCTTCTCCCTCCAAGGTCTTTAGATTGGTACAGGTTTCTTGGCAACCAAAGCACTGGATTCTAACTTAGCAGGCCTTCTTGGAAATGACATTAAGATACCACTGTGAATGGAAGTCGAATGCGTAATGCATCTCTAGTGGGTTTGATCGACAGGCACTTCATCTATAACCCCTTCCATACCTCCTGATGATTAGGATGTTTATTTGGTAGCTGCCTAGAGTAGAGCGTTGTGTATTGAGAATGTGTACTGTGATTTTCAAAGTGGAACTTCCAACGCAACAATAATCGTTCTCATGAGATAGTTCAATGAAGTATTCACACTACATGTTTTTTGTATGCTGATAGACGTAGCACCAGGGTAAAGAAGTATCACGGAGATGCTGACGCTTTCAAGAAGATACACACACTCATTGAAAAGCATCCCACTTCATTTCTCCACTTTTTGACGATTTTTTTTTGGACCGGAACTTTGAAAGCCGTTTGGCTTCAGTTACCTATTGTGCTAACCCTGCTGTGGCCACGGTGACTGGACTCAGGTGTGAAAGCCTGGGCTTAAAGTGGAGCGAAAAAGGAAAAAGTTGATCTCATTTGATGATGACACAACAACAAATTTACTGAACAAGTAACAACAGGAGTGTTCAAATGATTCCAATCTTATTGGCGCAATCGAGTGCGTCGTAGTCTGACGTGAGACGGATGTACGCTTTCTTCTCCATATGTGGTGTGATCAGCGTATTGATCTACAACAAAACGTGAACAGTAGCAAAGCCACTGCTGGTGATTGATGAAAATCTGCGGATAAACCAGAAACAAGCACCTGGCGTGATACTCAAGCCTTTTCGACCATGCCCCTACTCTATGACCTCTAATTTCCTTATCGAACCTAGGCATTGAATGGAACGGGGTAAGAAGTCATGATCAAGTCACTAGCCCCAGTCATTAACCAACAATCGTATGTTCAACTCGGAAATGGGGTATTTTAAGTTATTACGAAAAATCAACAAATGGGCAGCAAAGGTCCTATCGCGATACATATTGCGAATCGAGCGATTCGCTAGCGAATCGCTGGATCCGAGCGTTGCGCCAGCGAATCGAACGTTGCACCAGCGAATCGAACTTTGCGCCAGCGAGTCGAACGATGTACCAGCGAGTCGAACTAGGTACCAGCGACTCAATAGTGGCGGGACCCAACGTTTAAGCCCGCCACTTTCAAACAGTGTCACGTGACAGTGGACACTGTTTGAAAGTGGCGGGCTTCCTTTGAACGTTGGGTCCCGCCACTATTGAGTCGCTGGTACCTAGTTCGACTCGCTGGTGCAAAGTTCGATTCGCTGGTGCAACGCTCGATTCGCAAACTATGACATCGGCCTGAGGGTGTTTTTGCGGATGATTTACTGTCGTTCGTGGTGTTACCTGGTATATTATCGTACACAATCACAACAACGATGTTATCCACTACAGTCGAGCCTGTAACTGCGGCTTACAATTAACGAACCATGTTATAGATTGGCGTTTATGTAATTGTAGTTAAACGCTATAGAAAGCATGTAAGGGATTATTGTGAGGCACAACACACTGGTGGAAAGCAGGAAAATATTGTGGAAGACCTTTGCTGTGCTATCAAGATGTCGTGGTGACCACCTGGATGTTCTCCCTCAGAAGGAATCATCTTCATGGAGGAGGTAGTAGGTCATTTTTAAATTCTGCTATAATAACGCTCATAACCTATACTTCGTTTTGGAATAAAGTAGACTATAGCTCCAGGCATGCTGGATTTGCTCATCGATATTGCGAGCCATGAAACCTTTATGCTAGCTGAACGCAGCTAGTTTCAAAGGTGCCTTTATAATTTTAGAACGCACTGTAGCATGAATCAGTACAGCCTGCAGAGAAAGGGATGCTCATACCAGAATCGACCTGCGCCTCAGAGCAAATACATGGTATCGTTCAGTTACCGCGATTTACCCTCCTCCTATGGTCACGCCACGCAGCCTTGCCACTAACCGGCTAGAAAATTTTAGTATAAAGTTAGTAGTTTTTAGAACCTGTGTGAAAGAGATCCGTGGACTCATACTCTTGTCGTATATTATCGCAAAGGTACCATGCCACGTAACGGGCGTCGGTTGAGCAATGCGATCTCTTGAAGAGGCGGAGTATCTTTAACAGAATAAGTCCTTTGTGGCTTCGCTTTTCAGCATGAAGCCTAGGAAGCGGCACTGTATCTCAGGTGATGTATTTAAAAATTCATATGGGATCAGCCTTTTT